AAGAATCTAAATCTGTATCAAATATGGAGAGATTCATGCAAAAAAAAAGGGAATTTTCATTTACCTGTATTCATATACCTTTACTTGTTGATTACGATTATGATAGAAAAGGGGTCATGATGATTATGCTGATAATGATGAAGCTAATTATAACGTTGCAAATCATTGTTTGACAAATTATATAAATAACAACAATGAGAAGAAATCATGGCTTCATAAAAAAAAATGAAAGAAAGAAAAATTAACATGGCACTAATACAGAATATGAGAAAAACACAGACACAAAAACAGACACACACAGACATACGCACGCCGAGGGAAACAAACACACACACACACGGAGAAACAAACACACCACGCACACGCCGAGGGAAACAAACACACTCACACACACACACACGAGGAAATCAAAACACAAGACCCACACGGCGAGAGAAACGCATACAAAAAAAAAAAAAAAAAATGAAGAGGAAAGGATAAAACACACAAGAAAAGTTGAAACACATATGTGGATTCGAACAGATGCACAATATCAAAACAAACACGTAAACTGCCATCATTACCTTTAATCAATATTTGAACTTATTAACTTTCTCCAATCTTCTTTTATCAGCTTTTCTTGTTTAGTAATTATATTTATCATTTAGTGAATTTATCATCTCTGAGACTTTTTGCTTATTGTTGTCATGATTGTTTATGTTGCATATGTTGATTGTTGCCGAGAGACGTAGCTGATATATTCAACGATGTGGGTGTCATCAATATTTTTGTTACTATTATTATTATTATCCTCATTGTTATCATATCATTGTTTTGTTTTGTTTATGTTATTTTTGCTGTCATTATTGTTGGTGGTTGTGTCGCTTTTCGTATTTTATTATTATTATTATTATTATTATTATTATTATCATTATTAATTATTGTTATTATTGCTGTTGTTATTACTATTGTTATTATTATTATTACTATTACTATTATTATTATTGTTATTATTATTATTATTATTATTATTATTATTATTATTATTATTATTATTATTATTATTATTATTATTATGATTATGATTATTATTATTATCATTTTTACTGTTATTAACATCATCGTTCACTATACTATAAATTTTAGTTTAATGTTTCTTCCGTGCTCTCTTTATGATATGATTCTCTCTCTCTCTCTCTCTCTCTCTCTCTCTCTCTCTCTCTCTCTCTCTCTCTCTCTCTCTTCTCTCTCTCTCTATCTATCTATCTATCTATCTATCTATCTATCCATCTATCTATCTATCTCCATTGCCTTATATTCTTGTTTTTCTTCTACAGTTCCTTTTTTCTCTTAATCACTTCTTTCCGGTCTATTTTGCATTCAAGAAATAATGATCATGATAGTAAATTCTGATATTATCATTATCATGATCATTATCATTAATATCATCACTATCATTATTTTGTTGCTATCATTATTGTTATCATTATTATCTTTATTACTACCCTCATCGTTGTTATCATTCTATTACCACTATTATAATTGACTTTATTATTATCATTATTATTGTTATTATTATCATTGCTATTACTATTGTTGTTATTCCATTTTCTTTTACATTCAAGGGATAAATGTGGCAGTGCTTGATGTTTCCTTTGTCTCCTTCACACACCCTTCTTCTCTTCTTCTCTTCCATCTCCCTCTCTCCTTCCTCTCCCTCTCCCCATATTTCGTCTCTTCTTCTATCTCTTTCTCTTCCTTCTCCCTTCCTCGTCTCTTTCTCCAATCCTCCCACAATCTACATTCCTTCCCCCACCTATCTACCTCTTTCCTTCCTCCTACCCCCCAATACCTAATCACTGCCCCCCCCTTACTACTACTTAATCTTTATCCCCCCCCTCCCTCCTGCTTTCCCATCCACCTACCCCAATACCCAATCACTGCCCCTCTACCACTACCTAATCTTTCCCTCCTCCTCCTGCTCTCCCATCCTGGTACTCCTTCTTCCTGCTCATCCCTTCCCCAC